CACACACACACACACACACACACACACACACACACACACACACACGCACACACAGACACACACACACACACATATACACACACACTCGCGCGCGCGCACTTTTGAAGTCGTCGGCGCAGAGAGACATCAGGCGCGGTCGGCAGATGGAGGTGCCAATTGCGCACAGTCTGGGCCCCTTCAGGAGATGGGGCAGAAGATCCACACGAGAAGATCCACCATGCCGTGCACGTACCCGGGGATGCAAAGCAAACACACACACACACACACACAAAAACATATATATATATATATATATATATTTGCGTCGGCGGCTAGGCAGAGGCACTGCGCTGGCGAGTAAAGCGAACTGGGGCAGCGCTAGGCGAATTCAACCACCGTGCAGGAGGGAAGGGGAGAGGACGACAAGGCGCCAGCCAGGGGGGCAGCCCCGTGGGATGTCTCGTGCCCGTAGTCTCTGCTACTCCCCGCATGGAGGTCTCGTGCCCGTAGTCTCAGCTGCTCCCCGTGTGGATCCAGGGTCGCAGCGAACGCCGCTCTGGGTTGAGTGAAGACGCACACACACACACACACACACACACACACACACACACAACAAAAAAAAAAAACGGGCCAGGCGGCCCCCCTCGGGCCCCCCACTCTGGCCGGAGGCACCGTCGGCGCGGAGGTGTTCGCCGACGTCATGGTCTCGCAGCACGGCCGCTCGCCTCCGGGGCGGGGGCGCGCGGGGGTGCGTGACGTCGCGAGCGGCGAGCCTCTCTCGGCCACGCGCAGAGGGAGGAGGAGGAGGAGGAGGAGGAGGAGGAGGAGGAGGAGGAGGAGGAGGAGGAGGAGGAGGAGGAGTAGGAGGAGGAGGAGGAGGAGGAGGAGGAGGAGGAGGAGGAGGAGGAGGAGGAGGAGGGGGGGGGAAGGCTTCTTAGAAGCAGCCTACTTCGAAGAAGCCTGCCCCCCTCACCCTGCCCCCCCTCTGCGCGCCGCCAGGTATCCGTATCCGCGCCCTCGCGGCCTGGGTTCCGGGGTGGAATCATGCAAACATGCGGCCAGGCTAAGAGAATACAGCTAAGAGAATACAGCTCCAGCGTGGTAGAAAAAGTGGGTCCCGCCCAAGTATGCGCCTTCTGTCGAAGAAGGGCAGTCGGCCTGAGCACGAGCTCTTTCGCAGTTCCGCGCGGAGTTCCTGGATCCGCGCGGGCCTCCGAAGGTATATGATCATGCCGCTGTTTCTCGGCGCCGCGCCCGGGGGGAGAAGGGAGAAGGAGCTGGACCTCTCCGAAGGCGGCAGGGCCTCTCAGAAGCCCTCGCGCCTTCTGAGAAGCTCCCCTGCGCCTTCGGGGAAGGCTCGGAGAGCTCCCCAGAGGGCCCGAGGCCCCTCCGAGCTTCCCGAGAAGGCCCGCCCCTCCTCGCCTGCCCCCCCCCCCGGGCTCGCCGCCAAGCTTCTCGGTGTCTCGATCCTGTCCATGCCCCCTCTCCCCAGGGGCCCCCACGAGGGCGCGAAGTTGTTCGCGCTTCGCGGTCCTCGTTCCTTCTCCCCCCTCTTCCTCGTCGTCCTCCTTTCCTCCCTTTTTGGGGGGGCGGCGCGAGAGCGCGAAGCGATTCGCGCGCCTCGCGGAGCGCGCGAGCGCGAAGTTGGGAGCCCCAGCCCCCGCGGCCTCCCCTCCCCTTCCTGGGAGAGGGGGGGTAAGGCAGCGGGCGCACGCAGCTGGATCTGTGCCAGGGCAGGAGGGCCCCACCCGGCGGTCGTCGAGACCAGGTAGTATCGTGGAGGCCTCACGGCCGGTGCCGCCGACCCGGAAGGGTTTGGCCGTCGATGGCGGCGGGAAGGCGGAGGAAGTGTGTGAGGAGGGGGAGGAGGAGGAGGAGGAGGAGGAGGAGGAGGAGGAGGAGGAGGAGGAGGAGGAGGAGGGGTTGAAAGTAGGCATCTTTGGAGTCCCAGGTTCCAGTCTGCTTTGAGCGCCTTCCTGCTCCAGGGATCGAGTGGCTTCCCCCCTTCCCTCCTCTTCAGGGGGCGGGCGGAGCCCAGTCTACTCTCAACGCCTTCCTCCTACTTCGTGCTTCTGCCCACCTCTTCCGACCGATGCTGGCTCAGGGAAGCCTTCCGAACTCGACGAGTCGTGCCATACAGTCGGGTCCCTGAAGAAGGAACCCTTTTCGTTGGGAAGGGGCTCCGTGTTCCTTAATTGTTTCACAGCTTGCCTCAAGGTTCCCTTATGTTTTCGATGGGAAATCGAAGTTAAACTTATGGTAAAAAGGGGCCTCGTTCCTTATTGGGGGTTCATTGGGTCAACGCCCCGACTGCAGTTCGCCGTGCGGTCGACTGTTTAGGGCCCGAGTGCCTCCCTGATCAGTTACGTTCGCGTCGGTGTCGACCAGCGGCGACCCCGCCGCCGGCGTTCAGCGTCGAGCGCCACCGGCGGCCCAGCACCGGCCGATGTGGAGCGGCCTGGCGTTTCGGAAACGGCCGTCGTTCCAGGTTGATCAGGGGGGGAAAAACCACACAGGCACA